GGATGGCAGCTCGGATCAGCTTGCGCTCCTCATACTCGCCGGCGCTTCTCAGCAGCGTGGTTAGCTCCTCCACATCATTCATGGACTCCAGCTGCCCTGCCAGCCATGCTAGCGCAGCCCGCTGTTCAGCTTCCCGATGCTGAGAGTGCAGCCAGTTTTCCTTGTTGTCCTGTCGCTCAGCACGGAAGCGCTTTGATGCCAGGGCTTCCTCCTCGCGCTCCAGCTCCTGCCGCTGCAGCTCCCGGATGGCTGAACGGATGCGCGGCCGCTCTGCCAGATCTGCTGTGACCTCTAGCAGTTTCCGGAGGGCTCCCTCATCCAGCCCAGCTTAGGCTTCGTCTGCCATCTTGCTGGCCCCTAGCTCCGTCATGACCTTCCTGGTGATATCCCCAGTGCCTATGGCACCTGAAATCAGCTCAGGGAATTCTCTCAGTCCAGCGCGTCCGTCCGGCGTGGGCTCGGGTTAGCTCACTCAGGATACGACAGAAAGTCTGGCCGGAGGAGCAGAGCCCTGGGTTTCCAGGGGCCCTCTTCCCCAGGTTCTTATGTGTTCTGGGAAGGTAGAATTTACTCCCAGGGGAAAGGTGACAGAGATTGCTGTAGGGCAATCTAGCTGAGTGATACCTTTTGAGGGGACTTGTCCTGTATCTTTGGGGTCACCAGCATGGTCTCTGATCAGATGTCCCAGCAGGAGCTGACGCCCTGGGTGGGCAGGATGGATATGACCCCCATGACCTGGGGATGAAGGAGTGCGTTGGGGGAGGTGAGTGGCTTTGGGCATAACTGTCCTTGGGGACAGATTTCTGGGCAGCTCCCATCTCTACATGTCTCTGCTGAGGTGTGACCATGTCCCCCCATTGAATTGCTTTGCCTCTATCCTCTACCGTGCTGACTCTCCTCTGCTCAGGCCTTTTCTTACTCCAAGTGTAAGACCAGGAAAGAGGGAGTAAGCAGACACCCTGGCAGGGCAGGGTCCTGAGAGTGCCAGGAAGGAGTGGGTGGGCCAAAGCGCGTCTGTGGGAGGGGCCCGGAAGGCTCTGCTGGGGCACTGGATGGAAATCAGGCACCATCTGCTCCCAAGCCTAAGCTAAATTCAGTCTCCAGGAACGATTTCCCTGAGGGTGGACTGAGTGTCCTGCCATCGCCCCCTGGAGGTCATGAGCGGACGTGCGGCCAGTGTCAGGGGCTACGCAAGGGATGCTGACCAGACTCAAAACGGTGTGACCTGCCTCTTAACTATGAAGTTTCATTCCCCATTAAAGTATTTGACACACTTGTCAGAGATCATATGACCAATACTGTCAGGGCTTATTGTACACACTCAGTTCCAGTGCCTTGGTCTATGTGTGATTCTTTATACAAGTTCCATATTATTTTTTTACTACTGTAGTGTTGTAACAAGTTTTCAAAGACGGAGGGATGATATATAATTTTGTTTTATGTTTAAGATTCAGAGATTCCTCTGGGTCACATTTTTGTTAAAATCTACAGGTAGACTGAGTGATCTGTAAAATAGTGAGGTCACACTATGCTCCCTGGTCTGGAATTTCAGGTGTTCATGATCACCATACAGCGCTCTTCCCTGAGGCTCTGTGACCCTGGCCTTCCCCACAGGGGTCCTGTTGCCCCAAAGCCCTACCACCTTTTGTAATTGGTGGATTTTCTTTTCTTTTCTTTTCTTTTTTTCTTTTCTTTTTCTTTTTCTTTTTTTGACATCAGTTAATTTTATTTTAAAGAAAAAAAAATAAAAACAATGGTACAAAATCTCAAAACAAGATTTTAGGAGAGTAACAATGGCTAGTACATTGTGTAATGTTACTGCCAAAGTAGTTTCTCATATTACAAGATATAGGCAAGAAATAATAA